GGGGGGGGGGGGGGGGGGGGGGGGGGGGGGGGGGGGGGGGGGGTGAGGGGCTAGTTATTGAAACAATGATGTTCAGGCTAGTACCTGAAGGGCAAAAGGAAAAATTAGTTTTCTTAAGGCCCTGGGTACTTTCATGCAGTAAACAATCTCAAGAAACAAAACTTTGATTTTCCCTAATGTAACATAATTACAGTAGATCTGATCATACATGTATCTGCAGAATGTTAGGTTATTATTAGTCAGAAGCAAGTAAAGAAAAGCCTTGCCTCAGGTTTCTTTCTCTAAAGTACCGTTAGCATTACAATAATATATTAATGCATACTGAGTGAGTTATGGTTTAGCTCTAGAAAGGATAATGCAATCACAGACATGTTTATACCTATCTTGAGACTATTATCCTCCTCACAAATTTTTGATGATGAACAGCCAGCCAGTGTAGCCCCAAGCTGTGGCAAATCATTGGAAACAGCAGACATCTGAGATTTGTCTCTCACTTGTCCCGCTGAGGGACCACCATTCCAGATTCTTGTCGACACCGTCGACACCCTGGAGGGTGTCAACTCAATGCGAGGAAATTGTGCATTGGACTGTTTATTGGGGCTAGTACTTTGTATGCCAAGGTTTAGAGATCCAGTTCCTCTTCCTGGGCCGGACTTTTGAGACATGGTCAGTGATTGCCCACTTGCCTCAACAGCTATGCTTGCTATGTGATTGGAAGCAGGTGATTCATGGCTTGCATTTACATTCCCAACACCTACACTTGTTGTGCCTGCATTTGGTCTCTGTGAATTTGGTGTACCAGCGTTTGGTGAACGAGCATTTGGTACACCTGCATTTGATGTACCTTCATATGGTGTACTTGCATTTGGTGTACGTGTACCCACATTTCGTGTAACTGCATTTGGTGTCCCTGAATACGGTGTACCTGCATTTCGTGAACCTGCATTTGGTACACTAGCATTCGGCACAATTGTTGTGTCTGTATATGTCTCAGGGCTGATATTTTTCCAAGAATCATAGCTCTCCTTTCTTGACTTGCCCTTTGAGTGAACATTCGCAGTTTTCATCGCCATTTTTGCTTCTCCCTTGTCAAGTAGGACAGCCAAATTACTAAAACTTCTTTCTACATGTGAGGTTGATGGTGTGACTCCTCTAGGCCCGAGGTGAAATTTTCCTTTCCTCTTTTCAAAGACCTTTTGCTTTGTTTGCTGAATGATTTCTTTTCCATCTTTGGATGTTGACTTTGAGAAGTCATTTTCACAAGACGCAAAGAGGTCTTCATCTGAGTCAGAACTAAAATCATACATGTAGTTGTCAGCAGTTTGTTTGTTGTTTGTTGTAATTTCCGCCTTCTCTATCTCATCAATTGATGTTGTTGCCACTCCTTCTGTAGTGTTTGCCCTCACCTTTCCTTTGTTATTAATCACCCAAATTGACGCTTGTGATTTTTGTCTCCACACAATAAGCTGGAACTGGTGTTTACCAGTTGGAGAACATTCAACAATCACTTCTGCTAGCACCACACAGTCACCTTCACAGATTCTAGAACCTTCATCTGCCAGCTCTCCTAACAGGAAAGTACTGATCACAGCCAATTGAGAATTTCTTGATGATTTTCCCACATCCTCCTTTAGCAAAATCTTGCAGAGCTTGCCAAATCTCTCTGAACATTTTATGGGATAGACTTTAACAACAGTCCCTAAAACAAAGAAAAGGTGCAAACTTTAGGGCAGCAATCTTGAGTCAAACTGGATTAGATCAACCAACTTTTATTCAAAAAGAAGGTACAATCTAAAAACCTCAACAACAGCTGAGCTCCAAGATTTCAAAATTGAACTTGTTCAAAACTGCATCATAATGTATTGGCAGAGTTTTTCTGGGCAGGATCTGCCATTTTGGAGGGTCAACAAGGTCATGCAAAATCTTGTGGAGTTTGGTTTGCTGAGGTTGGCATCTCTGATAGTTGACTTAGCTCAAAGTCTTCCTATTCAGTTAAATATGAATTGTTATATAAAAAACTAGATTCCATGTTGCCTTGGACCTGTTCAGTAATAGATAACAGAAGACATCACAATGTGGTAAAAACATCAGTGACACACTCCACTATCACTTCATGTGTCACTTTTTTGTTCTTACCACAACATCACATGTGATTCACAATTGAACAGATGAATTACAACCTATTTGTTCAGAAGAAATGTGCAGGGTTTTTTACACATATCTGGAAAACAAATAGTTGGGGAGGGGATGGGGGATACACAAAAATTGGATCATGTGTACAAAAGGTTTCCGCCGTCGAACGTTGATCAATACCCTGGATCAACACTTGATTGACATCAACTCTCAGTCAGCATCTTCAACAATACTCAGTCAACACTTGATCAACATCTCAGTTGACAGTCAGTTGAGATTCAACTAATTTTCACAGCCATGTCATCGAGTGTCAAGCGATACTCAATCAAATATTGATTGAGTGTTAATCGAGTGTCAATTAAGATGTCAATCGAGTATCAATCTAGTGTTGTAAGTATTGATTAAGATGTTGATCAAGTGTCGATCAACATGTTGATGGAGTGTTGATCAAGGGTATCGCTCGACACTAGATAGCAGATATCTCACAGAGTCATTAATAAGTTTACAAAGCTTTATGGAAAACACCACGATCATCCCATTCACAGTATTTGTTTATAAGCTTGTCAAATAAACTTTTACGCTAGCACTGACTGGTTTGAAAAAAAGCAGCAAGGTGTACAGGTATGTACCATCTATGCCAACTCTCCCGGATTATCCGGGAGTCTCCTGGATACAGACCGAATCTCCCGCTCTCCCGTACGAGTCACCAAATCTCCCAGAGAAACAAATAACAGGGCATAAAATACATTTTTCTGACATATTTTGGCTGATTTTTTTGTATTTTTGGGGAAAGTATTTTTGACATTTGATGAATGTTTAAGATTTAATCTGAAGATCTTTACTTTGAACAACATCTTTTAGGGTCAAAAAAGGTAACATTGGCGATCTCCCGGATTTTGATTTTTTTAGGTTGGCATCTCTGATATACATAGGTGCATATATGTTTTAAAACTTCTGAACCAGACTATTATCCACTGCTCATTTCTCCAGGTTCCTACGCATCTACACAAGGTGGGGTCCTTCATGGGGACATACCCATCACTGCAATACTCAAGGGTAAAAATAAGGGGGGGGNAATAAAAATCCTAATGATACATACTTAGATAAAAACCTTAAATCGTAAATTAAATTTCAAATTTAGATTAGAAATACAGTTAAAATTTTTTTTCTAATCAAAACAATAACAAAATTCTCAAACATGATTGGCTATCAGCAGCCCGATTTGAGCATTAATTGGACAGTGTACGCGTCATGCTTGTAATTGGACAGTACGCGTCATTTTGCACGCACTGTTGAGTAAACTGCCATGTTTTTCAGCATTCATAACAACGTTTAATCGTTCAGCGCTCTATCGATGGTTTGTTCGTTTCTCGAATTTTGTCATAGTTTTGATTAATAATGGTAATAGGACTGAGTGGAATCCAATTTGGTCTGTAATCATACGAGTGATTAACAAAATCGGACGACCATGAAGCGGGAGTCCGATTTGTTAATCACGAGTATGATTACAGACTGAATTGGACGACACGATGTCCTGTTACCAATTAATCATAACAATTACAATTTCCCACAAAAGTAAAAGTTTCATTTGATAAAGAGCTTTTTATTGTCATTTTAAATATCATAATTATAAAATATGGAGAACAGCTCGCAAAATGGCTGTCAAGTCTATTTCAAAACAGTCACCAGAGACTAAACCTCCAMAATTTTACAAAGTCAGTCTCAGTCAGTGGTTAYTATAGTGATTGTAATCAATRTTKTGRTTGGTGGATTTAGTGGAGAGGACTTAAAATGATTGGCTYATGTAACTGTCCGATTACAGGTGTCCGATTACAGCCAACTGTCCGATTACACTGTCCGATTACAACTTTGCAGATTAATTAGAGCAAAATACAGCAGTTTATGCACCAATCACATTTGAAGAAATTGTAATTGTTATGATTAATTGGTAACAGGACATCATGTCTTCCAATTCAGTTTGTAATCATACTCGTGATTAACAAATCGGACTCCCGCTTCGCGGTCGTCCGATTTTGTTAATCACTCGTATGATTACAGACCGAATTGGACTCCACTCAGTCCTATTACCATTATTAATCTAAGTACCTTCTTAAATTGTGGCAATTTTATGCATGTCGCATAGAGTGGTTATCCAAAATTTGCACGGAAATTAAAACAACCTGCCATGCTTTCAGTAGTTTTACTGTAATTTTCCAGTGTTTTTTTTCGCACAAACCTTGTATGAACGCACTTGACAGCACTCCTGGCTCGCTGAGGTCTTCAATGAGCACCCGTCTCGGTGGAGCATTACCAGGAAAAAGCTTGCAATAGCGTCCATTTCCAATTGAGAAAGTCATTTTTCTCAAATACGCAAACGCATTTCAACGGCTTCAAAATACTTCAAGATGGCTTCCGTTTCCCGCCAAATGTCGTTGACGGTCGAAACAACTTCGTATATGACGAATACGATCGATAATGTACTTACGTCACGAAAACTACCAAATTAGGAGAACGTCAATGTCATGTGATTTTAGAGTGACGTCACTGTTCCAAACATAGAAGTCGACGTCGACAACTATTTGCTCCTTTCGAGAGTTTCCTCAATCCATCCATCTTGACTGTGATAAAGTTGCTCAGCGCACTAAGATATAGTACAAAATGTCTCTGTATCCTTCCTTAGAAGATATGAAAGTCGATCAAATGGCCCAAGCACAGGTATTATGCTTATGATTTTGCTACTTCCCAAATTCAAGTTGGAACGAACGAACGAGCTGGAGACAGCTGAGCAAGAATTTAATACGCTAGGGTTAAAAGAACTGTATTTTACTGTAGGCTTGAGCTTATTGATTGCACGATAGATCTTAAGTGTATCAAATGCTGTGTGAAGGAATCAACTTCATTGAGTCTTGTGTTGTTGAATGTAGCTTGTCGCAAATTAGAATCTGTCTGGATCTACATGTACAAGCTACAGTGTACGTGTGCGTGCAATAGAGTGGTGGAGGAATCTGCAAGTTTACATGTATGTCCTTTCACCAATAGCTTTAACGACCAGAAATTTCTACCTGGGAAACATTCCACTTTCGAATTCCGTTTAAATAAGTGTACAATCTTTCATACATTTTCCGTTTGTAGACCCTGCAAGCTCGAGCTCAACAACCAGCTATTGGATACGCAGTGAGTGACAACGAATTATACTTTAATTTGTGCCCTTTACTTGCTCGATCACTCCCGATCTTACACAATTTTTATTCCCGGATAGACCAGAAAGTACACCTTTTTATGCATTATTTTACTATAGGTGCAGTTTAATTGATTTGGTACATGTTCATGTAGGAAATTGAATGACATCATAGCAGAAAATAAACATCTGTCCAACATCAATTGCAGTGGTATTTCACTTAATACCATTAGTTTACAAATAACGTTTAATTTGGCAAATAAGATTTCATTTCTCAGAACCTAGTTTCTGCTTTTTCACAAATCTGCGAGAAAGATTTGTTTCATGCGGAATTATTCAGGTGGAATTATTAAAACAGTTTCTGATTTTGCTAATAAATTGATGGCATAATGATTGAAATTGCATGCAACACTGTAGCCAATGTTTTGTGTACAAACTTTCGCATGAAAGCCTAACCAAGGGGGGTGAATAGGGGTGTGCAAATCTGCCGATCCATGCCTTTTTTTCACCAAATCCGTCGATCCACCAATACTTTTGTTCAAATCCGAAACCTCAACCACATCCAGAAACAGAAGTGCAAAAGTTCAAAGGTAAAGTGGTAAATGTGAATGCCATTGCTAATTTTGCAAAATTAGTAAAGAAGGCAACATATTTCATGACTATAACACATTACAATTCCAATAACAGTCTCGCACCTGAGCAGAAATCCATAATCCGTGCGCTTTTTAAGGCCAATCCATCAATCCGAAACCTATTCACCCCCCTCCTAACCATTGATGGCGTTCATTTGTCAGTCAGAGAATAGTATGCATCAATAAATTTCGAAACAGAATGTTATCCCATAGACTTTGCATAGTCCTGAAATTTGACAACTAACTATCAACTCTTTTGTTACTCCCCTTCAAGCCACAGGCTGTTGCACCTGTACCAGCCTCTGCTCCAGGACCTGCCCCAACAAGTAGTCTGTATCCCTCACTCAACGACTACATGGGTCTGGCTGTTTCTGAAGATGCTGTGAGGCAACATGTTCCAGGATATGTGAGTAATGTTTCATCACATAGCATGAGTTAGTAAACCAATATCAAGCTCTTTGATGCTTTGCAACCTCTGTTTACTTGTGCTACTGTAGTTGTAATCAACCTGATTACAGATAGATACATTTTCTAATTTTTCAAAACCAGTGGGAACTCTGCATGTTGTACATTTTTTCCTAAAACAAAATTTATGTTGGTTTTACTAGCTATTTATTAACCACGAGTGAGTTCTTTATCTGAAAATCTTATCTGAGAATGATACAGCATGTACTGAGTAATGTTGATAGCTTTCATTTTGCATGTTTTTCTGTAGACAACTGCTGTGGTGCCAAGACCACAAGGTGCTGTTGTACCTCAGACCAGTGGAATGGTTGCTCCCGTAACCGGTGACAATAACCTCGCCATCCGCCGTTCTGAGATCAAACAAGGCATCCGTGAGGTTGTTCTCTGCAAGGACGGCAAAGGAAAAGTTGGTCTGCGTGTGCGAGACATTAACAAGGGTGTGTTTGTTCAATATGTCCATGCCAACTCACCTGCTGCCTTGGGAGGTTTGAGATTTGGTGACCAGATTCTACAGATTGATGGTGAAACTTTGGCTGGTTACAGCAGTGATAAAGTGATGAAGATTTTGAAGAATGCTTCTGCTCAGAGAGTAGTATTTGCTGTTAGAGACAGGTTAGAAGTTCATCTTTGTTTTAAGTGCATTATAAGTACTCTAAACTGTACTTACCTCTGCATCTGCAAGCCTGCATGCATAGGATTTCATGGCATTACATGTAGAATTACATTACATGTAGAATTATCAAACCCCCAGATTATCATCATTATCATTATCATTATCATCAGTTCTAATTTTGTCTTGGGGTACATAAGGCCTCAAGCTACCAGATGCAATGCCTCGAACATGTTATTTAGTACATTGCACTTTTCTTCAGAGCAGTTTGCCCTGGGCTCTTGGGCAGCAATTACCCAGTAACCACTTGTTATAAATATCAAGTATATGAACAGTGCCATGCTCATTCTGAGCACAATCCAAGATGTGCACATGTACAATGTATGTTGAAGTATGTAGTTAAGTTATACTTGTTGGAACACTCAACATTGATTTTAGCTCTTGTGTACTACATGTAATTTCAACCATTCAGAGACTCTTTCACCTGCTACAAGTTCTCATAATTGTAGAATACTGTTTTTGTTTACTGTTTTGTCTATTCTCTGCAATGTGATTGACATTGAAGTATTGCTGTTACTTTCTAGACCGTTTGAACGCACAATCGTTTTACAGAAGGATAGTGCTGGCCATGTAGGATTTGTGTTTAAAAATGGCAAAATCACTCAGATTGCCAAAGACACATCTGCAGCAAGGTAAATCCAGATGACTGGATGATTAAATTGTTGATAATTCTAATCAGTGAAAACTGCCTTACTTTAGATTTTAGTATATAGTTGTGTACATGTAGTGTCAGATTGTATGCATGCACTTAAGTACTTGGTAGTGGCTACCATACTACCCCATAGGCCCACATTATGTCACACCCACCCTACATTCACACAGTCCTGGAGAAAACAGAGGCCTAAGCTCAGGGCTGTCATTCAAAATCATCAGCTCCAGTAGCTTTAGTTGAGATGACTAGAAAGTTTGAAATTGATCAAAAGATGACTCTGTGAGGAATTCGAAGCTATCTCAGAATTTTGACCACCCTCTGTACTTTTGTTGTGCAACAAGCTTCTTCAAGCATAATGACAGCCCTACATTCATGAGCTTGGCAAAGGACAAGACAGATAGGTCTGAGCTGACTTGAAAAAGTTGTCCACATGTAGACTTGAATGCATAATGTTATCTGTACTACATCTGAACTATTATTTAGTACACAAAATTCAACTTGAACACAGGACGTTTTTACAACTTTCCAACCAAATCAAGCCCAAATTAGATGGATATTGCATTAACTCTGCCTGCTTTTACTGTAAATAATTATTCTTTGGCCAATTAGGTTTTATCTGTTTATGCCTGCATGCACATTGACTCAAAACATGTTTATGTTGTTTTGCAGGAATGGACTACTGATTGAGCACAACCTTGTCGAAGTGAATGGACAGAATGTAGTGGGCCTCAAGGTAAGCAAGATCATAAATAACCTAAAGGAGACACCCTGTTAATAACTGAAGGCCATCACCAACTCTTTATTGTTCTTACAATGTTGGTACAGTACATGTAATACCATAATGTAGCCCCTCCATCTCAAATGGTAACCCTTCCCCCCCTTCCTCTCAAGCTTGTGGCAATGGGCTTTTGATGTGCAAGGGAGTTGTTTGAATACACTTGCCAACTTCTTTCTATTGTTCTTGTTTTACAGGATAACAATATTAAAGAAATTCTTGAAAAGGGTGGCCAGACAATCACACTGACAATCATTCCAACTTTCATTTATGAGCACATGATCAAGTGGTATGTACATGTCCAAGTGATTTTATCCTTGCTTTAAAATTTCCCCAAAGTAATCAACTTGTCATTTCTCCTAACAATATTTACAATGTCATGCAGGCAGATAATGAGAATAAAGCAAATTATCAGCTCTTTTAGTGGGAGTGTAGATCTTGTTTTTCATGTTACACTTACCTGTAGCCCTTTTAGGTTTAGAAGCATAACTAGGAGTTTGGTCCTTTCCCTAGACGAGACTAGTCGTTCATTGGAGGTAAACCCCCATCCTACCTCCTGGGCATTGTTTTGTCAAGCTTGCTGATACCCACTGATACTCTTGGGTAGGGAGAGGTGCACTGTGGAGATAGAAAAGTCTTGCCCGAGAATTCAGTCAACACAATGACCCCACCCAGCCCCAACAAAGTCATGTGCAAAACACAATCCAGGCCATATTGCAAGAGTAATATTATTATGGACCCCAAGTCTCTAAATCTTAGTCCCTACTAAACACTCAAGACTGATTTTTGCCTGGTGTGTGTTCTTCTAGATTGGCCCCCATTAGGTTGAGATCAGGCTTTAAAAAGTTACCACAGTTAGTGATCTAATGTACATGTAGTGACCGAATCACTGACTATTTGTTACACTGTTTTTGTTGTTTTTTTTCCAGTATGGGTGATGGCCTTGTTAAGAAGACTATGGACCACAGCATCCCAGACTTGTAAAGATCTTCAGAGAAAAGTCTTTTTAGGGCTCCATTAGAACATTTATGTAATTATAATTTTCTGGTAGACTAATGTAGTTGATGTAGATGTGAGGACCCTTGGTAAACTTATCCTAAAGGTGATATACAATGCTATAGCTTTTGTTAATTACTGTGTAGGTGAAAAGCCTAGAAAAAATATATTCTGTTATCACATGGCATCATTGTTGCCCTATTTAGGGACCTCAACAAGAGATTTTTGTTGATCAATTTCTTTTGTTGTCAATCCAGTAACATAAATATTAATAATGTTCTTGCAAATTGATTCCTTCTGCATTGGTTGTAAACCCGTATTGTTCAAAATTCATTTCATCATGTTCCAAGTGGTTTACTTTTTACCTTATTGTCTTAACCAAAAATAATGTGCTTCTGTTGATTTGAATTTATTTGTTGTTTTGTTTTGTTTTCTAATTTACAAAATGGATTTCTGCAAAAGTGAGAAATAAGGATAACAGTTGTGTAGAGGTCAATGATACAGGTAAACATACTGTAACTTCAAGGACGGAGTAGTTGTTTGTAAACAAATCTACTTTATGGCTACCTTGTAATGAAAATGTTCTGCTGTTACTTCAACTATACTAATATTGTAACATTTTATGGTGTCTATAGAGGCAATTAAAAAATCTGTCATAATTTGTGATCACTGTTAGTTTTTTGTTGTTGTTGTTTTCTTAGTCCTATTGGTAGGTGGGGAAAAACAACTAACACAAGTTGATCCAACTCCAGTTTTTCTGCAATAAGGTAGATTTTTTAGTTGATTGTGAATTTAGAGAGACTACAACCGGCCAGTCTTGCCGTTTACATTATCATTAGCAGGCAATTTCTTAAAAATTATATTCCTTGCCATAGTAAATGTAAATAGAGTTAATTAAAATCAACCCTCCAAGTTAAC